CGTGATGCTGATGCCAGCGGGTACGCCATGCCGATGTTGATAACAGCGGCTACACTCCCCCCATTGATTGAGCACGGAGTGTCTCAAACAACACAAAACTCTTGCCCGGCGCTGGGAACGGTATAGTCCAGGTTTTGGCATAGACCGCCACCCCCGAGAAGCTCTTCTATATTCCTCATATACATCACTTCCGAAATGAGTTAGACAGAGCATTGTTACCACAGATGCACAGCAGAGCTTGAATCCTATATTTTCTCATATCCCTTTGCCTTGTCTTCATGGTTTCTATATCAGTAACAACAGGGGCAAACCGAACATCAGATCTCCCACGAATTAACGATCAGTTATAATGATCCTCATCTGTATTGCTGCCGGACAAGGGAAAAAACTCCACGCCCCAGTCACAGGGAGAGAATGCAACCTCTTGTATACAAAAATTGAACTCCTCCCAAAACTTTTGGCCGCCGAGATTAAAAAACCTCTCCAGGACTCAGCAATACAATGTGTGTTATGGCGTTGTAGGTTCTACCATATATATACCAGGATCGGGATACAAGCAATCACTCAGGCTAAGACAGCGACTAAAAACATTATGCCTTACACTTGGTAACGATCGTTTCTGTACTGCAAATGTGTATGTGTTTTTGCTGAATGATTATCTGAAGGTTCTCGTCGAAGTTTTCATCTACAGTTTTTCCAAAGGTTTCACTAGGATGCCGATGCAACATGGCTCCACTCATTAAGCACCCTCACGTATCAGTCATCAAACAAATCACTATGCACCAGAATGTCAACTATTAAGACAGGATCCTTTGCTACCGATGAATGTCAGCCAAGGAGGCAGTGATTTCCAGGCAGTGGCGTAGACATCAGTTATGATGACAAGTCAGGACACACCTTTCCATGACGTCATCCCATCACACAGGGAAGTCATCAGGGAAGTAATCTGGCAGGAACTCTGCATCGCATCATGTTCTCGGGATCTGCAACAGCAAGGATACGGCAGAAAAACGGAACAGAGACTCTATTACGAGCACGGGCAGGACATGCATGAACACAGATTTCTCTGGAGTGCTCAAATATTAGCAGAAACTTTGTGATCATTAATTAGACCCATTATTCTCCTCATCACACGAGGACCCGTTATTTTCCCCACCACATGAAGACCTGTTAATTTCCTCATCCCATGAGGACCAGTCATTTTCCTCATCACATAAGGACCCGTTATTTTCCTCACTACCTGAGGACCCGTTATTTTCCTCACTACCTGAGGACCCGTTATTTTCCTCACTACCTGAGGACCCGTTATTTTCCTCATCACATGAGGACCCGTTATTTTCCTCAATGCATGAGGACCCGTTATTTCCCTCAATGCATGAGGACCCGTTATTTTCCTCAATGCATGAGGACCCGTTATTTTCCTCATCACATGAGGACCCGTTATTTTCCTCACTACCTGAGGACCCGTTATTTTCCTCACTACATGAGGACCCGTTATTTTCCTCAATGCATGAGGACCCGTTATTTTCCTCAATGCATGAGGACCCGTTATTTTCCTCATCACATGAGGACCCGTTATTTTCCTCATCACATGAGGACCCGTTATTTTCCTCAATACATGAGGACCCGTATTTCCTCACCACATGAGGACCCGCCATTTTCCTTACCACATGAGCACAATCGATGCTCTGATCAGAGTATTGGAGTCTTACATATATAGCAACGCCATACCCACTATAGCTTGCATCAGCGAACAATGTAATTGTACATAAGCACCTTCAGCTTGCACTTTCCTTGAGCATCCTGGAACCTTAGTATTCTCCAGGGAATCTATGGTTTTATCCATTTCCCATACTCCTTTGATTCCCCATCAGGCATGGGCCCATCCACATCAGTCCCCTTCTGTACAAGGGGTCGCACTAGGAACCAACCATTGACAGCGTTCCTCTTCCATTTTCCTCTCTATCTCTATATTTATTTTGAACTCGAAGCTATCTGTGGTGACCGACCACACGAGTCCAAGAGCCCCCTCTGTGGGCAAATTCTGCATATCTAGATGTTCTTCTACAAGCTTTTCCCGACTATACGGGGTCGCTGAAATAGTCCCTCAATTGACGCCTTTAGTTGTTTCTATCCTGGACCATCTCTCTGTTCAATCCTGCTTCCCTCATATCCCAGCTCACACAATCCTTCCATCTCATCCTTGGTCCTCCCCCCTCTTCTTCCGGGGACCCCTCTTCCTGCTGACACACGCTTCAGGCAGTGCTCCTCCTCTCTTTGCTCGACATGTCCAAACCAAAACTAATCTCTTTATCTTCCTGGCCACCTCAGTGACGTGTAGAGATTCTAAAGTGGCGGTTAGACACTCTGTCCCTTATTGTCACCCCGCGAGTCCATTGCAGCATTCTCATTTCGTTCACATCCAGGCGCTCCTCTTCTCTCTTGGTGTTTGCCCAGGTCTCTGTTCCCTAGGTGAGTGCGGGTCTTATTACACTAGCGTAGATCCTTCTCTTTAGCCTCATGCTCATTCTCTTATCTGTCATTACTCCAGCACACTTCCTCCAATTCCTCCATCCACTTTGTATCATATTTGTAATCTCTGCTTCCACCCCTCCATCATGTTGCACCATAGACCCTAGGTACGTGAAGATATCAGTCTCTCTGAGTACCTCTAGGTCTATTTCCAAATCCACCTCCTGCTCATCCTCCTCTCCGAAGTGGCATTTCATGCATTCCGTCTTCAGTCTGCTGATCCTGCGTCCTCTATCCTCTAACTTTTCTCTCCAACCCTCTAACAATATACTCATAACAGTATGCACATGACAATATACTCTGGCTCTCCTTTCAGTCTGAGGCTCCTCCAAATTCCATCACGTGGAACCCTGTCTGTATATCTAGACCTAATGTGTCCATTTGATGTATGCAATCTTCTACTGGAATTGATTCCAGTACATCCTTGCTGTTACTGATGCAGTTTCTTAGATTAAATTTTCCCCTTTTGCATAAATCTTTTAAATCCATGATCATATCAATAGCTCCTTTTGACGTTGGTACAGATTTCAAGCAATCATCAACATAGAAGTATTCACTAATACATTTCATTACCTCATCATCCCAAAGCCCCTGACTGTCTATTACGACTTGTCTCAAAGCCATATTAGCACAGGCTGGGCTAGATATTGCACCGAACCAATGTACAGTCATTCTAAACACTTTAGGTTCTATGTTCGAGTCACCCTTTGGCCACCAACAGAAACGTAAGAAATCCTTATGCTTCTCAGGAACTTCAACTTGATAAAACACACTCAATGTCACCCATGATGGCTACAGGTTCCTTTCTAAATCTGAGTAACATGTTGTGAAGCTTGGTAGCTAGATTTGGACCGTGAAGTAAATGATCATTCACTGAGCCATCTAAGTACTTAGCTGAGCAATCAAAGACCACTCTCAACTTCGCTGTTCTTGGGTGGTATACTCCATGGTGAGGAATATACCATACCTTTCCGTCATTTCTGCTTATCTCTGATTCAGGCCCTTGTTCAACGTATCCATTGTCATTTAATTTTGCCATAAAAGCTGCATATTCTTAAGCAAATCCTTGGATTTTGCTGAACCTGTTTTCAAGATGCTGCAGTCTTAATTTTGCATAATTCTGATTATTTGGAATCTTCACCTCTTCGTCATAGAATGGTAACTCCATCTCGTAGTTGCCATCCACAAGTTTCATTGAATCTTGAACTTTACTTAAAAACAACTTATCCTTTAATGAATTTTCCCCTTTATCATCTATTATCAGTTCTGGGAACTCCATGTTGATTAGTTCTCTCACCAAATGGTCGAGCCCTTTTCGTTCTTCATTCTTACTAAGTTCTGCCGTACCAGTTTTGTAAGATGTTACAAGATCCGCTCCCTGTCACTTCAGTAGACCCCATATTACCCAACCTATTCTTGTTTAGGCAGCAATTGGGCAGTACTCCTCTCCTGATACAATTTTGTTTCCGATCAACGGATTCACTTCTCCATCGGATTGTGGAATCTCTACGTCCTTTAAATGTGGCCTCTTTTTTAAGCCTTCCCTTGAAGACATAAACCCTCTGCAAATATTTATATTGTACTGAGAATGAACATTTTATAAGTCTACCGAATTGCTTCCTGCCAAGGCACCAATTTGTAGATCCTTCAGTACCGTAGAGCTCACCTTCCTTTTCCCATTAAGGGTCTCCAAGTTGCATGTGATTCCCTTTCCCTTACACTCCAGCTCATTCATTAGTTTCTCTGAACAAATAGGTGTAGTTGAACCCGGATCTAAGAATGCCAGTGTCTGTGTGGTTTTGTGACTATTCTTCCATTTTACTTTCCCTGATGTGATTGCTAAGGCGGCCATTTTGTCTGTTCCCTCTGACAATGTATGGCAAGCTTCTGCATTCATGTTTACCACCTCTTTGGGATTTTGAACTTCTTGTTGCTCAGACTTCCTTTGTAATGTCATCTTTTCAATTTTTAATTTCTCGAATTCAGCCCTTAGATTCCCAATTTCCTCCTGTGGTGGTGTATTTGTTAACCTCATCAAACATTCTCTCCACATGCATTATTGTGGGTTGTTCTTCACTGCACCCAAGGCAAATTTCCTTCTTGAAACATTACCACGACCAGTTCTCAAGCATGAGAAGCACAATTTCTTTTCCCTTATTAGCTCAACTTTCCTTTCATATTCAAATTCCTTAAACCTTTTACAGTTAAGTAGCCTATGATTTCCCTTATATTGATGACACCCATTTTCGTAGTCTTCATCACTACTTCTCTCAAATTCCCTTTCTTGGACTTGCGTAGCAAATGCTTGTCTCATCATAGGGTTATTAATTTTACCCTCGTTTAGTTACTCTATACCATAGATGGGATACCTGGCTTTCTTGGCTTCCCTTGAAACGAATTCTGCCAAGTCTGAAAATACTATAGGCTTAGAGGCATCACCTTTCTCACAGACAATTGCACACCACCTTTCTTGCATGTTGTATGGCAATTTCATAACAAGTTTTCTCATGTTATCTGGGCTTCCTAAAGTTTTAACTGAATCCATACTTAATATATCACACTCACATCCTGCGAGAAACATGGAAAATTTGTCAAGAGTTCCAACATCATTTCCATTGATTACTGGCCAATCCAGAGCCTTCTTGATCTAAGCCCGGGCCATAACGTCATCATTCCCATAACAATCCTCAAGTTCTTTCAAGGCTGCCTCATACCCCCTTTCTGGATTCATGCTCGTAAATTCTTGTATTCTTTCTCTTGCTTCCCCTGTGGTAAATGGTTCTAAGTAGCTTAAACGTTCATCATAGGAAGTGCAGTAGTTTAGCACCTTTGTTCGAAACCGTCTCATAAATCTATTGAAGTCAAGAGAGTTACCATCAAATGGCCCAATATCCATATTGGGTTTTTGCATCTCTTTGACGAACGAGTCCATTTTTGCTATGAAATTCAAACTGGGCATATCTGGAAGGTCTCCATATTTACAGGCATTTATACTCCGGCCTTGGTATTTGTTTTCATCATATGTTCCGTTGTCACGTAAGCCGTATCGCCTGGAATCATAAGGATTACTAAACCCTTCAAACCTCGGAACTTGAGATATCTCTTGATCGTAAGAACTCACTCTACTTTTGGGACCTAATCCCCTTCTAATTTTCTTTGCCATCCCAAGCCTAGCGTGAGCTACATCCCTTTCATTTTTGATTAACTGCCTCTCTCTCATACTCTAATACCTCCGTTTCCTCTTTCCACATTATTTCACATTCTTTCATTTTAGCATCTTCAGTTTTATGTTTTCATCAAAAGGTCTCTGTGAGAAGTATTACCGATTAATTCTTGAGGCTTGCTATGTCCTCCAGAGTTAGTTACCTTTTGCATCACCTTTAAAATCCAAATAATAACATGTAATGGGCGGGAAACCAGTGTTGCTTCTTTCCAACTACTCCGTTTCTTTGATTCAGCTCCGACTTATAGGTTATTTTTCGCTCATTCATTCAGTTTACCTATTTCACCTTTCTCCTAAACACGAGCACTTGCGTGCACGAGGGCCATGGTCGCTAATGTCACTAACAAGAAACTTCCTCCATGACATATTGCATCAAATTCAAGCATTTCACTCCCTTAGCGTGCAGAAACAGTTTCCCGGATTCGCTAATCATCAATAGCCATCCTCAAATCTTTGTTACTTTTCTCCGAAAACTAATCATAAATAGGCTTGGTCATATGTTCGATCCGTGCACTCGTTCACAGCCATAATGTTTTTGCCTCACAATAATCGCCCGTCAAACACCGTGTCACTTCCGTAGACTTAGCGCAGTTCGCTCCTTCCGCCCGTCTCTTTATCGTCACGGCAACGTAACAGCAATGATCTCCCTCTGCGTCCCTCAAAACTTTGTTACTTTTCACCAAAAAACTAATCACAAATTAGCTTGATCATATGTTCGATCCGTACACTCGTACACAGCTATGATGTTTCTGTCACATAATAATCGCCCGTCAAACACCGTGCACTTCCGTAGACTTACCGCAGTTCGCTCCTTCCGTCCTTCTCTTTATCGTCACGGCAAAGTAACAGCAACGATCTCCCTCTGCGTTTGACTGTAAGCGCCATTTCACGCGCTTAGATTATTTGCGTTAACTCGAGGTGACTGATACCACTGCGTCGTACTCGCTTCTCAATTTATTTGAATGCGGTCAAACCTGTAATCAATACATAATCAATACAATATCAATCATGCAATAATAATCATAATTGCTGTTACAATTCGACTTAGATTCACTAACAAGATCATATCAGTAGTTATAATACATACATACATTTTACTGTTTGCTGAGAATGTCATTATACCCTACTGCTTTAGGTAAGCAACAACATACACTGACACTAATGTATATCTATACATGAATGTGTATGATACATACGCATAGCGGGAACAGTCAAGGCCTTTAACAGAAGTCCACAGATCGGTCCTTATGTACGTGTTGTCGAGCCAGTATTCACTCTCAAACTGTTCTATAACCTGTGATGGCCCCCCTTTCGTGAGACGCCCTTCCTTCATTTATACGTCAACACTAGGGACAAGGCCTAATTCAGCACATACAAACACATGGAGGAACACGGCCATGGCATTATCCTTATCGCAACCCATGAAGAAACCGTCAACCAAGTCCTAGAGGGGATGATGTACGCGTGATGCTGAAGCCAGCAGCTACGCCATGCCGATGCTGATGGCAGTGGCTACAGATGTTATACACGTGATGCTGATGCCAGCGGGTACGCCATGCCGATGTTGATAACAGCGGCTACACAAATACATATATAAATATATATATACACACATATGTATGTATATATATATATACAGATATATACATACATATATATATATATATATATATATATATATATATATATATATATATTTGTGTGTGTGTGTGTGTGTGTGTGTTTGTGTGTGTGTGTGTGTGTGTATGTATGTATTATACACGCATATTTATATACATGGTTTGTTTACGAAAGTAGCTTTCATTAACGAGATGCTTCGTCAGCAGTCTTTTGTTGAATATGTCCAGGCAGACACACACCATTTGAGCTTCTGTGTTGACATTGTAAGTGTTGTGCAAGTTTGTTTTTCCTTTGCGAAAGAGCGAGAAAAAAAAATGAAGGCAAACACTATTTGAAAAGAATATAATTTTCTAAAAAGTCATACTGAAATTAAATATCACCTCTCTGGAAAAAAATAAAGAAACTATGAACAAATATTTCCACAATAAACACTAATGCCTAACCCGGAAATAGGGAAAGAAAAGATCACAGGGTTATAAAAAAGGCGGCAAATAGCAAGGTCAAGGGAACGAAGCGAAAAGAAATGGCGAAAATATCATTAACTTTCGTTCTTTTTTTCAACAACGCCGTGATGAAGCTGTACTTCTGTTATTTATTTGTGCCTAAATAACAATAAGGAGATGATTAGACGAAAAATGGAGGAAGAATAAGAGATAATGATAATTTTTGCAATGCTATTGCTACTACTTGTATTTACAATGATGGTTGTGCTCAGGACGACGAAAATAATGATAATGATAATTATCATAATGATGAAAATAATGATAATAGTAGTGGTTATAAAAATGGCAATAATAATGATAATAATAGTAATTTTAATGATAATAATAATGATAATTTTAATGATGATAATAGTAATAACAAAAATGATAATTATATAAATAATAATGATAACATCAATGCTAATGATAACAATGCTAATGATAATGATAATAATAATAATAATAATAATAGTAATAATAATAATGATAATAGCAAAACTAATGATGATAATGATAATTAATTAATTAATTAATTAATGATAATAGCGACAGTAATAATAATTATATTACAATAATAACTGTAATAGTAGTAGTACTGCTAGTAGTAGTAGTGGTAATAGTAATAATAATAATGCTGATAATAATAATAATAATAATAATAATAATAATAATGACAATAGTAGTAATAACAATAATAATAATGATAACAAAATAATAACAATAATAATGATAATGATAATAATGATCATAATAAAAATGATCATATTAATATATATAATGATGATAACAATAATGATCATATAAATATATATAATGATAACAATAATGATCATATTAATAGATATGATAACGGTAATAATAGTTGTACTAAAATTCTGATAACAGTCATTGTATTAATAACAATAATATCAATAACAATAATAATAATGGTAATGATTACAATAAATAACAATCTAACACATTAAATACCAGCAACAAGCAAATTCATACAAAAGCCGTACAAAAAGAAATACCAAATAAAAAAAAAGAAAGGAAGAAAAAAAGAAGAAGAAAAAGTCGGAAAAAGAGCAAAGATACAAAAAATAAAAGAGTGAGAAAAACTGCATCCATCTTTCAGAACTCTGGGTCAGTTGGTGGTGGACTGCGCGCCTGGCAAGCTTTTACTTCAAGGTCGCGTAGACGATATCTGGAGCAGCTTTTTTTTTTACGATATGGATTCATTGTCATCTTCACCTTCACTTGCTGCCGAGACGAGGTTTGTATTCGCGTTTATCTAAATTTTAAAAGAGTGGGAATGGTTTGGATTTTGAGAATGATTATTGTATTGTAACAGTGTTGTAGGGGTGATGTAAAGAGATGTAGAGTTGGTATATGCTATGCTCAAGGTAAACGGGCAGAGGAATTTCCAACTAAATAAATCTGTTTGTGTGTTTGTTTATCTTGTTCATTTTTTTCTTCTTCTCTTTTATGGGATTTTACAGACTTTAACTATATATATTAATTATAGTTCATTGCTGATACCAAATACATTTGAACACGCCTGTACATACCAATATAGATGCAGATACAGTGTGCTTTCCCATCAAGGAAAAAATATTTGCACGTGCAGGATTTAAAATGTACTCACAGGTTCATAATCGAAGACACACATACACACACACACACACACACACACACACACACACACACACACACACACACACACACACACACACACACACACACACACACACAATTATCCTATTTTACCTAGTAGATATTCGTGCAGCGGTTATACATTGCCATCTGCTATTCCTATTTAGCCAAACTCATCACCAAAGTAGTTTTTCCATTTCCGGGTAGATACCATGACGCCATGTTCTTCTTCTGGAAAGCGATTGAATAGACAGGTAACTGGAAAGACCGACAGACAGGTAAACAGAATGACAGGTGGAGAGATAATTAAATAACAAGTCATGTTAAGGTGTGGCTGAGGACAAAGAGTGCAGGGTAAGGGGGGGAGGGGTGGGGGTAGGAGGAGGGGGAATGAGAAGGGATGGGCAGATTAGGTACGGAGAAGGGAAGGGAGGAGAGATAGAGGGAGGAAGAAGAGAAGAGATAGAAGGAGGAAAGAGGGGAAGAAGGGGAAAAATAAGAGTAGGAG